CCCCAAAACCCCAAAACCCCAAAACCCCAATATACTATTTCCAGGTTGATTTCAGGTCTAAAAATGTCAAAACCCCCATCCACCACTCAAACCTCCCTTCTCAACCCCCAAATTCTGTTCCTGCTTCCCAAATCCCATTCGGCCTTCAAAATTCCGAACCTACCATTCCTTCTACAGGCTTGCACTGAGTCTAGCCGCTGAGATCTGGCTGTACTGTCTTTGAGCCGAAGAACTTAACCCAAAGTTGAGAAGCAGAGGCCACAGTTGGGAGCTGAGCTGGAAGTTAGCCGGCAGAGGGGTTGGGGTAATTAGGGAGGAACGGGGGTTTTGGGGTGATTGGTTTGGGCGAGGGGGAATGGGTTTTGGAGGTTTTATGGATCGAAAATAACCCTTTTAGGCAAGCCTTTGTTACTAAAGTCAGCAAAAGGCAGAAAGATATATGATCTCTGAATTTTCAAAACTTATAGGACTCCTTCTTGTCTCAAATCAACCACCTCAAAATACTAAAAATGCTCCTCAGGCCATATCACCTTCATATCCGTCAGTGCAAAATATTTTAAATTTCCAAAAAGTTAAGTCATTGTAGTGTTCTTCAACATTTTTAATGTTTTGGACAAAATTTCTTATGATTCTTATCTTCACTTTTAAACTCTAGGAGTCAGCTTCTGGGCTAGACTCCTTCATAGAGAATTCACCAGCTAAGTCCTAGCCTAGATCTGTAGGGATTTTTAATTCTTAGAGACGACAGAGGCTCCTTCGCATATTGGTAATGGGAGCCTTCCAGTTGTTCAACAATTGTCTGGTAGCTCAGGCTTATTATTTTGATAAACTCATACATGGAAATACAACTTTCATCTATGATTTTTGAGAAGCTTTTGACCTCCTAGTTCTGGAAGTCTTACTAAGATGGAAGGCACTGAATTTTATGAGGATTTATATGAAGGTCTCATAGGTCTTAATCTCTATAGCATGAGAATGAGGTATAAAAATTTAGCGTTTTAGCCAAAATTAGTAACTTCTTAAGTTAAAAATACCATCTCTGTTTTTAAAGGCGACATTTTGAAGATGGTTGCAAACAGAAGCATTAATAATATGATTCTAAATTGCTGAGAACATTTAAACTGCTTTGGCTCAGCTTACATTCTGTCTAAGGACTTTCCTAAAGCGATATAAGAATTTTTAATACCTTCATGAGTATATATTACCTAACTTGGGAATGTTAATAATATGAAGAATTATTAACTGCATCTGTCAATAGGAGCTTGAACTTTGTTAAAAATTATTTCAAAAAGCATTAAAATGATTCGAACGCTTATTTGACTAATGCGAGGACTATCTTGAATAAATTTTATGACTTCTCCCAGTTACGACTTCGATAAAAATAAAGAGGAAAAGGGGTTTACTTTTATTACCCAATTATGCATAACTTACATTTTTAATTACTCTTGGACTGTGAGCATCTCAAATGACCTATTAGCAGCAGGATGCCTTGACTAAGCCTCAGAGGACTAATCGCAGCTGAAATTAAAGAAAAGGATGGATAATAAACCTGGGGCTAGAAGCAATCTTTTTCTAATACCATATGGAGCAGCCTCAATTATTACTAGTAGAGCTCCTAATTTTTTAAAGGCCTCAGTTATGATTCTGAATAATTTTGAGGGTCTGTAGCATCTTCAGACTCTTTATTGGCAAAGTTGGCCCGTCATCTTGGATCAAGTTTATAATAAACAGAAAGAATTTCTATTGAAGAATCTGAAAACTAGTAACTGCAGTTATTATTCTGAAGGAAACGGATAAAAAGTTGCAAAATTTTAGCTAGCTTTGACTCCAGATTATGAGATATGATCATTAGGGTATTCCAAGAGTTGAATTATGGACTCCACCATAATCTCGAGAGGCTGAGGAGCAATTTGAGAAAGGATACTATTTCGCCTTTTCTATATCTCTTTGGCCATAGAATTGACAATAATAGCTGATCTTGTATTTCAAACTTATGGAAATATCGAGATGATAAAAAGGGAATCTTTGACCTCTATGTTTTACGAAATCATAACGGATAAATTTTCAATTGTTAAAAACTAAGACATTACAAACAGCAATGGGAGACTTAAAGTGACTAATTTTTCCCTCAACTGCCAACCAAGCAAGGCTTTATGAAGTCTTTAAGTCTCATAATTTCAATCTGTTAGAGGAAAATAAAAGGATCAGTAAATTGAGGCGTTTTAGACAAAGATTTGATGCCTTCTTTTTGAGGCCACTAATGCCTATCTAGTTTTGCTCTCAAATTTACAAGGAATATTCTGACCTGTCCGAGTTCTATAATAATTCTGAACGTTAGTGATAAGTTATAGGTCTGAGATGACATATCCTCCTGAGTGTTTACAAGAAAACATTGCTAAAGTACCCTTCCAATAGAGAGTAACTCGATATTTCAGAATATTACAAGACACTGATTCCGAAGAATAATGATGCAAATATCTTGCTTTCGTGGGGTAGCATCGATATTTGCCTTGAGATATTTCTGAGCAGGGGAAATAGGAATCAGATAAGTCTTTTTATTTGAATGCTATTAAATGAGGCTCTGCCGACATTACACCTCACAAGTATTTTATTGTTCTCTCACAATACGACAATTATGATAACTGCCTATCATATTCTTCACTGTAATCAATCTGAGATGGAGGTATGCAATCGAGTGATTAGAGAGAGCTGTTTATGAATTTCTGAAGATATTTTACCCTGATTATGCCGAACTTTGAGAAAGATTTCTTTCTAATAATGCATGCTTGGCAGAGATGATTTCGTGTTTCGACTCTCAGTTTCATCTACAATAATTGGAGGATAAGAATGTGAGGTTTGCTTTAGATCTTTGAGAATCTTGAGCATTAGAATAGATCCTTCAGAAGACTTCAACTCATAATAATGAAGCTAGTAATAGAACTTCTCTCACCAAATATTAAACCACATTTTAGAATGCTTCTTAAAACATGAGTTATTACTCAAAATAATTTCAATAGATTCTGAAGTTTTAGGTTCTGCAATATTTTATCTAAAACATTAAATCTTAATTCACTCGTAAGAGGACAAGCTATAGTTATTCTGAGGTTTATTGACTATCTTCAACACAAAAGAAATATTTACAAATCGCCTGATTTCTTCAGAATTTCCCCCCAAAACTCCAACCACCGGAAAGAAATTCTGACCTAAATTCTTAAAATCACCCAGAGTATCTTCCCAAACAGTGCTCAAACAAACTCTGTAGTCTATTTTCCAAACGCGATTACCAACCCCAGTATCTAATAAAACCAAAAGTACCAAAACCTTCTCTACAGTCACAAATCTCTTAAGTCCATTCGTAATCCTCCTTCTATTTATCCGTTATTACACCTCTTGTCCATACATTTCCTTTCACCCCAGCCTCCCATGAAGAGTCAGGCTGGTCTGGCCACCTAAGGCTACTTCTCTGCGGGGCATTTGTTCATGTGAGTGCAAGCTTAGGTTTTGGAGGATGGCCAGAGCAAGGATCTTTCTTGGTAAGCCAGAAATCTGAGATTTGTAGAGAAGATAGGGGTTGGAAAAGACAGTTTTGGGGAGAAGAGAAGGGGTTTAGAGAGGGTTGAGGAGGGTTTTAGGAGAAGCAGGGGGTGGGCAGGGAGTTTGGAAGGTAATGCAATTGGTAGGACTTCTGTGCCTTTTTGGCTGCTGATAAACTATTTAAGAAATTAAATTTAGGTTAATAATTAATAAGTTAATTCATAAGTAAGTTAAGGTCTAGCTCTTATAACTCTGAATCTTTGATGAAAGTTCTCTCCTGGCTTTATAATCAGAAACGATGCACAGTAGAAGAATGGCTGAGTAGGAGTCTTTGTCTGCATTAAGAGAGGCTTAGGAATTGAAGTTAAGGGTTTATTGATTAGATAAGACAAACTGAAGTTAACCCGTTTTGGCTTGTGTATTGCAAACCCTCATATCATAATTTTGCATTGAGAAGTATGAAGATTTAGTTCTTCATAGGCCTTACTTTTCAGACACTCATCTGATAGCTTTAATAATAGAATATTGACTTTGTGAAGATACTCTTTATTAAAATTATTCAGTCAGGAGATTTCTGATCCCAAGATATAATTATGAGTAGATATCATAAAGTGCACTTTGCCTTTCCTTATTTTATTTTTGTTCTATTAGCCTTATAATGGAGTTTGCACTACAGATAGGCAAGAGGAAAAGAGAGGTACAAGAGCTAATCATTAGAGGCTTACTCAATTGCTTCTTAATATTACTCGTGCATCATCTCATGATATTTTCCTTTAGTCCTTGTTCTGTTAACCCAAATTCTAAACTTGCTAAAATTAATATTGACTTTGATTTAGGAATGTTTTACACAAAGATCAAACAGTAAGTGGAAACAAAAGAATTGAGAACTCCAGAATCTTGAAGAGATTTCATATAATAGGATCTATATCAAGGCTCTTACGACAAGCTTTGTACTATAGAAGTATCTATTGATTAGGGCTTAGAGGATAAACACTCCAGAGCTTATACGAGTTATTTTAAATGCAAATTTTGGACTTCATATCATATTCTAAATAGAAATTTAAATTAACTGTTAACAATGCAAAAATCTTGGACTTTCAGTCATTAATAATAACAATTTCTGACCTCTAGTATTGCGAATAGCTTTCCTTTTAAGAAATGGGTGCTACTTCTTATTAACAATGGTGATCAGTCATAAAATTAGATATTAGAGATTATCAACTTCGATAACTAAATTTTGCTTATTATATGAACATATTATCTTACCCTTGTAAAACCAGGCATTTCAAAAATTGATAGTTGGCAACTTATTGCTTGAGCTGATTACTAAAGCTAGTTTTACAACTATGAATCCTCCAAACCCAAGTTAACCAAGCGACTAACTATTGTATAGAAACATAGAGACAAAGTTAGCCCCTCTGAACTCCATCTTCAAAAGTTCGGTTCTATCCCAAGGTAAGTTATCTTTCATGCGAACGTTCTGAAGGACGGTTATATTAGTTTCGATATTCCCCCTAAAATATCACCTAGTCCTGCATAATTCTCCAAGGGCATCGATGGGATACAAAGACATAGTACTTCTTAAGAAGGAAAGATCCTTCTAAGAGAACATTATGAACTTTTTAATACCTATTCCATCCATTAAAAATAGAGAGATTAGTAAACGGCTAGTTAGCTAATATGCATCCCTAGTGGTACGAATTACGAATGTGAATCTACTATTTTTGAAAGGATTCTCAGAAACACGGCTTCTCAAATTTGGTTACACCGTTATGTGTAATCTTAAAATATGAAATTATGACCAGGAATTCATACTTCCTATAACAGATTGGAGTCTTGAGACACATTGAGTTTAGACTATAGTCTCCCTTGGCATTATACTGAGGCTTAATGGTGATATAGACCTCAAGACCGGTTGAGTGTATGATAAGCCAGGCCAGGATCCAATAATTACAAAAGCATCAACTCCAAAATGCCTGAGAGATTTCCAGCTGTTTATGGTAAATACTATGCAATTGAAAATTTACTAATTTCTTCCTAAAATTAAAAGAAATAGAAAGCGTAGTTAGGATTAATAGTTTGTGTTGCACTCCAAGATTTATGTGACTAAATTTTACAAATTTGCACACTTCTCGTTGCACTCCTGCATTTCCAACTAATATGCTGACATTGTTCTAGGAACTTGAAATGGAATACAATAAAGAATACTTGAAGAAGCCAATCTTCAAAACAAGTCAAGACAAAGATGCTTTAAATGGCAAACTAGACTTAATAGGTAAGCTTAAATACTTGATTTTATGCGCTGACTCCCATATAAAGAATAAAGTATATCATTCGATGGTGAGAATTTGAAATATCACATTCTTGGTTATTTATTGACTGTTTCTATAGATTTTCAGACTTCAGTAATGAAGTTGGTGCCTCAGCCTATTAAGAAGAAGTCTAATAAAGGTAGAAAACGTACTCCTGTTCATAATGCTTCCAGTATCTACGAGTTGATATACGACTCAGTCTTACCAAAATGGAAGAAGTGTTTGACTCTCAAAGCTAATAGAAGAACAGCCAAGACTCTGATAGCACGTTCGGATACAGTCTGGAAGAAAATTTTGAGAGATGTCAGAGAATTCTACAGACTGCTATTCAGAGCCAGGTTCCACTACCTTGAGTATCAGAACCAACAAGGGGCAGTTGCCTGCATTCAGACATTGTTTTCAGAGCTCAATATTCCCCTCAAAGATGATGAAGAATACATTCATGGAGTATTCAGATACCTACATCAGTCGCATAAAAGTAGATTTCCAGGACTCAGCGATAAAGCAATCCCTTTGGATGCAATTGAGAAATACAACGAACACTTCAGAAGTCTTTACATGAAAGACGACTTCGGAGCTAGACTGCTCTACTTCGTGTTCAAGAACTTCACCTACGAATACTGCCTACTAGTCAAGCCCAGGTACAGACAAGAAATCACCGAAAAAGTATGCATGATGCTGAACTGCTACAGAAGAATGAGTGAACCCGCACATTTAGAAAGAATCGAGTACCACTTGTTCTAATCTGCATATATCTAATAAATCTCATATTTCGGTGAAATTCTATTGCTCTTTCTAGCCCTGGGGTTTTGGGGTTTTGGGGTTTTGGGGTTTTGGGG